GTATGTTAGTATATATATATATATATATATATATGTGTGGTTATATAATAGGCTGGGGGTTGGGGAGGCTATGGAGTCACAGTGGGTTGGTGGGAAGCGGAGAGATAAAATACGGGTATCTATCGTTATAATACGTGTCACGTGTGTGCATTTTATTATGGTATGTAGTACTCTACTATGTTTATGGTTAAGGCAGTATAGTACATCAGTATATTGTTAGAGTATCTAGCACATGTGATTCATATTAGGCTATTTAGTCAGTGTATTCATTGTTAGTGTGTGTAGTGTGTGTAGTCTGTATTGGTTCAGCCTAAAGTGCATGTATGTTGCTGCAGTATAGACTGAGTATGTTGATCCTTGTGCACTTTTTACGTACATTTGACAGTTGTATGCTACCGAGGCAACAGCAGAATACCTGCGAGTGCACAATATGGAAGCAAGGACTGTTCGGTGGCCACTGCTGGAGAGTGAGTCATCAGACCCTAGTGCCACTGAGTGAGTGACCTTGACAGTGTCATGTTGCCCAGCCATAGATGATGCAACAACGTTTATGGGTCATAAATTGTTAATCACTTTAATCGTTATCCAATATTTCGGTCAGGGATCAAATTCTTACACGATATCACAATAGCTGTGTCATAGACTCATATTACTCGTTTATCACTGCGTATTTCGATGAGCTTTTGTTCACGTGTTTTGACTGCACAGCTGAGTAATATTTTCATTTGCTCTTATCTTTTGACTTTTCCTTCAACCGTCTTGTGTCTCGACCGCTGCCTTGTGTCTCAGCGATTGTCTCACATCTCAACGACGGTTCAGTTCCCAATTACTGTTCGGTGTCTCAGCAACTGTCTCATCACTTGGCTGCTGTTTCATGTCTTGCTGCAGCCTGATCGAGAACGGTGTTGTTGACCTCGTGATTAACCTACCCAATCATAACACAAAGTACCTGCGGGACAACTTCCTTATACGCCGTACATCCGTCGACTGTGGTGTGCCTCTGCTTACTAACTTTGAGGTGAGTGGTAACAAGTGTGTCGTTAATCGTGTGGACGCGTTAACAGTGCTACATTACTTTTAATGCATTATTCAGTATGCATCATAGTAGAATTCAATGGTTAAACTGTAGATTGATCAGCTGTGTGTGATTACAGATGTCTGTAGACTGAACAAGACAACAGATAGCTATTATTGTAATGTCAGCGAAATCAGTTCGTAGAGGCATGTGCAATGGCAAAATCAATGGTGTAAGCACCATGTTTTAGTAGTAACCTTGTAATAATTTGGTGCATTTTAATAATAATAATAATAATAATCTCATCATTATTATTAATAATAACAATGTATGTACATAGAGTGTTAGCTATTACAAATTTCTAGCAACCAACTTATTCAATTATTAAAATTTTTCATTTACAAAAGTAGATTTTGTGCATATATCACATTTTCTGCAACAGATCGTACAGCTGTTTGCTGAGGCTCTTGGACATGTGGGAAAGATCGACTCTAAAAGTCTGTTCCACTACAGGAAGGATAAGCAGAAGACCCCTATCTCCACCATCTCCACCCATGACAGAACTGAATTATAGTGTCTGGTAGCCCAGTAACCACTGCTAGCACCAGGCTGGTGTTGTGCTGATGACATGACACCACATGTTCTGCCATACGCAGGTGTGACTGGTATGGCGAGTAAAAGGGGTGTGCGAGGTGGAAGTTCTACTGTGATTTTACACAGATTTAAAATAAAACTGTGAGGATGGGCAAATCTTTGGTGCAGGGTTGGTTTTGTGTGGTTATCGCTGTGATAGGTTATGGTATGATAGCATTGTCTGTTGATATACCTATACAGTCCTTTATGTTTGAGGTGTTTGGTACTTAAATAATATATTTTGTTACGCAGCCAATGGTGGACCATATAGTGGGGATGTTTGGCTGCAACGAGGGTTTCCCCAGACTAAAAATCATGCTTCTTTACTCTTTCATTACTGACCATTTTTTACCACCCACACATAGCCATCCTAGCCATTTTTTCTATAAAACTCGATCAATCATAATCGATATTTCAAAGTGACCTCCTGAATTTATTATTTGAGATAGATCTGTTCTGTAAAAGGAAAGTTTACTCTAAATTAGCTCTACTTTTCAGAAAAACCACTAAAAATTATCAGACCAATTATCAATCTGCTAATAATGCCAACTTGCAAAAGAACTTACGAAAACATTAAAATACACTGAATAAAATGTATTGTAGCCATAAATCTCTTGTTTACAGTTATTATTCTCAGTTATTATCAGAGCAGTTCGAGGTATATATGTTCACTGACCATAATGTCTAAGCCATGAGCTATTGCCATGGGGTGTCGTCAGTCGTACGTCCGTCCGTCTGTCCATCTGTCCGTCTACATTTGGCTACGGTCAACGATAACTTGAGATGCGTTTGACTCACAGGTTTCAAATTGCATACAGTTATTACTCCTATGGGAGAGATGTGACCGTCCTATTTTGGCAAACGCCAGTTGACCTACTTACGAGCCACGCCTATTTTTTGGCAAAAATGGAAATGACCATAAGTCAGTTCAGGCTCAACGGATTTTGCTCATTTTTGGTATGTGAATGAATAAGAACTGGCCCCAAAACATATCACAGGGGTTTTGATATTTCTTAAAAATTATGCAAATTAAGTAGATTTTGGCAGTTTCATTATGCATTTCAGTGTCTGCCTACGGTCACCGATAACTCGAGAACCGTTTGACCCACACGTTTCAAATTGCATACAGTTGTTACTCCCATGGGAGAGATTTCTACGTCCTATTTTGGAGCACGCCAGTCGACCTACTTTCGAGCCACGCCCACTTCTTGGCAAAAGAAATTGGCCATCTAGATTCATTCGATTTTGTTAAATTTACCTACCTACCTACCTACCTAATCATACCTACCTGTAATATTGTGTTTTAGATTCTTCGTTACAGTAATTTTACTGGAATATTTTATTGCTTTTATTTGCGCGATAATCGAAAACCAAAATGGCGATCATTTAGGTGTAGCGCCATCTCTCGCCCAGATTTCAGACTTTGAGATCTGAAACATTTATTTTAGCATCAAAACTAACCCTGAAACAAAACCGTGGAATTTCTATTAGTATAAAACAGGGAATAAGGACATTTGATCACATTTCGGTCCGTAATAAATGAAACACTTACCAAATTTTAAATATCATCTCCCTCTTCAATCACACCCAAGGTGAGCTATAGTGTCATTGACGCTTTCATTTTATATTCACATAGAACGGTATTTTCGTACATTTTTTACATTATTTCCTGTATCACATGGATATTTTATGACCAGCAAATTCGTTGGATAGTTTTCCAGCGTGGGGTCTTGGTTATGGACCAAATCGCAAACTACTCACGTTAATCTGTACATTCAATGATGTTAGTAAACAAATAGTAATACATAAGTTATTGCCAACGGTGTATTGACAACCAATAGATGTCTCGTGTGTCTTCTTGGTTTCTTAGATGTTCTCAACATGTGCCATAGCTGGTCTTGTATTATGAATGTCTCTATCTCATAGCTGGTATTGTACCACAACTGCTTCTTTCTCATAGCTGGTATTGTATCATGACTGCCTCTGTCTCATGGCTGGTATTGTATCATGACTGTCTCTGTCTCATGGCTGGTATTGTATCATGAATGTCTCTATCTCATAGCTGGTATTGTATCATGACTGCCTCTGTCTCATGCCTGGTATTGTATCATGACTACCTCTGTCTCATGGCTGGTATTGTATCATGACTGCCAAATTTGTGTTCACATTGTTTTAGTTGTATGTGGCTATTACTCGAAATTGCGAAACGGGCATATGTAAGTAGATAAAACTATTTGGACCATAAAGTCAAAATAGATCTAGATAAGTTGTGTGTTTATTGATCTGTGTTTGGGTATTGCTCTTGACACTGTTCCCCATGTCTTTCGTATGGTTGTTCGTTACCAGAATCAAAGCTATCTGCTGGTGATATTATAGGATGTCATTGATAGTTTGAGCTAGTTCCTCGTATTTTGCATGAGATTTATTTAGGGATTAGACACAAATTAAAAAGTTGTCACGGAAACTGGTTGTATGCATGCATTGAGGGTTATTGATGTGGGGGAAGCGTGCCAAGTGCATTAACTAGGTGCTACTAGGGTGGGTTAGTGAGGGTA